GGGGGTAGGGAGCGAGGGCGAGAGGGCGAGAGGCAGACTTCCCCCCTTGAGCTTTAAGAAAGGACCAAGAAAATTGGTAAAGATGCGGGAAGAAAGCGTAGTCTACTCTCTGCTACGGTAATTACATGATCTTGATGGGGATTGATGGAGATGCTTGTGTTACAGTACTGGCCGCTGTTGAGGGGATAAGGTTTGTATATGTGTGTTGTTGTGGTTTATAGTGCAAGTCCCTTTTTTCTTTTCCTTCTCTCACGGTATCTAGGTAGTAAGTACTTAGGAGATGAAAAGGTGGGTGGGGAAGAGTCTGGTTTGGCGGTTTGGATGGGTGTTCTTGGGGATTAGACTAGTAGGAGTGGTTGCTTTATAACGCGAGGACGGGGAAATGGGGTACTGGGTTTTGGTTGTGATGTTGAGGTGTTGGTGGTAAGAATGTTGTTATTGTGACGCATGTAGGTGTAAGATCTTGTTTGGGGGAAGAGAGTTGGGAGTTTGTTTTGTAAGGGGTGTTTTATATGGGTGTTGTATGGTATTAATAGTAGGGGGAGGGATAAATTACTAACTAGGTAAGATTACCAACCTACTCTTCTTCCCTTTGCAAATTCATAGGTTAGAAGTATATAGCTATACGAGTGTGTTAGAACTTATTGTTTTCACTTGTATACCAGATAATCTTACCAAGAGAAGTATATAGCTATACGAGCGTGTTAGAACTTATTGTTTTCACTTGTATACTAGATAATCTTACCAAGAGAAGTATTTAACCCGAACCGAACCCAACCCCCAAAAAGAGGTCCAAAATAACCCTCGAAATCGGTATCATTGACACCTCATCTTCCTTTCTCCCTTTAAACTCCATATGGTACCGCTACTCATGTCCCCCCAAAAGGTGTCTCTTTTACCTCGTATCTCGTAAAGCCTCAGAGAGGAAACCAGAGGTCGAACTCTTAAATTTAGGCATCGAAGGAAAAAATAAATCTCATCAACGTGTTCCTTTCATTAAAGAGGGAAAAAATACCTAGATGAGCTAGTTGTGGTACCGTGGTATAGCCCCGAAAACAACAACATAAGAAGGTACTCCATCCAATTATCCCAATCCCAAACACAGACAGACCTTTCCTGGTAACTTGTCGGTCTGCCATTCATTCATTTTTTGACTTCATTCAATTCGTTTCCCATGTTATCCATTTCATTCCATCAACATACACCAAAGAAGAAAAGACTTGCCAGGGATCCATTCGTTTCTGCGTCCACTCCCTTCCCCTCTCTGTATCGTAAGAAAAAGGTTGTAGGAAAAATTATACAATTCCTCATCTATCTCCCGGAAACTCTCGATTGACCGGCACTCCACAATCCCTTTGTCGTCTCGGCAATTCTCCTTGTTTGCGCCTGGATCTGCGCTTCTGTCTGTCCTTGTCCCGAATGCCTCTCCACACCCCGCATCGGAGCGTCACCTTGAGTATCATAGGCACCGCCTTCCAATTGTCCAGTTCCAGTCACATATCCAGAATCACTGATGTCCATTTGTCCCTCATCGCCCAATCCCATTCCGCCCAGACCGGAGTCGTTTTTGGGTTTGTATTGTTCGGATGGGAGAGGTGGAGCGCCCTTTGCAGGGTCACTCGATGTAATGCCATCCATCATTCCACCTTGGCCTTCGCGAAGCTTGTTGATGGCACGGACAGTATCGATAGCTGCATGAAGAGTACGACGTGCGTTGAAGTTTTTCTTGACAACTGGTAGAAGATCGCTTCCCTTTTGCGGTGTGCCATTATTCCCTGCTGTGAGACCAGCGACAAATGGATGTCCTAGAGCATCATGGGCTGTCATACGTTGGGTTGGGTCAATCGTCAAGCAGCGCTTAATGAATTCCCGAGCTTGTAATGAAACTCCGCGCCAGTATTCAATTGGAGTGAATGAGTAATCTGCTATCAAGATAGCTTGCATCTCTTCCAAATTGGAATCTCGGTCAAATGGTGTGTATCCGCAAAGCAGGAAATAGGTGATTACACCTATGGCCCAGATATCAACTGGCTTGCCATGTCCAGTCTTCTTGAAAATCTCCGGTGCCATGTAACCTGGTGTACCACATGTAGTAGTCAAGACATGGAATTGCTCCTCATCCATGATCCGACTGAGTCCAAAGTCTGCAATGAGAAGGTCGGCATTGTCTTCCGGTGTTCGAAAAAGAAGGTTCTCTGGCTTCAGATCCCGATGTACAATACCATGGTCGTGAAGGTAGGCTACAGCAGATAAAGTAGCACGAATTAAGTCGGCGGCATCGGATTCGTAATAAGATCCTTTGCGACAGATCCGGTCGAACAATTCTCCACCAAGGGCCAGGTCGGTAACCAGATACAGGTTGTTCAGAGTTTCAAAGTAATCCACGAGGGTAAGAATGTTTTGGTGGCCTACCGAAACGCGTTTGAGGACGGCGATCTCATTGCGCACCTACTCGGATATGGCGTCAGCGTTGTTTGGTTCCTACCATAGTAGGATATGACAATATCTCTTTGCATACCATGTGTTCTCTGCCAGCCATCAATCGCTTGTTTATCACCTTGGCAGCATAGTATCGACCGGTATCAATATGTACGCATTCCTTCACCACCGAGTATGAGCCTGCACCAAGTGTTTTGCCTGTTTTATAGCGACATGCTTGCACCTGTGGCTTGCCATCCTGGGTATTATAACTCATGTTTGCTTAGAGCGGTTTGTTTGTGAGGCGGGAGCCAGGAGAAGGAGTTACTCGAGGGCGGGTGTTTGGAGTGGTATGAAGATTCGCAATGGGTTTTTGAGGCTGCAATGGGTATTCCTTCGAGACTCTTGTAGGCTGCGATAAGGCGGTTTAAACGGAAATGCGCCTGATCTCGAATAGAGAATTGCTCAGCCTAGCTCTCGGTGTAGGTAAACAGGCAGGTAGGTAGGTGAGCAGGCAGATCGCGCTCGGAATGGATAAGAGAGCTTTTGTCGCACGGTGATCTTTGCAAAAAAGGGGCCGTGGTGTTATTCAGAGGAGCAGAGTCTGTCTCGCGGTCTGTCAGCGTTTGAGAGTTCGCCGTTCAGCCGCTCAACATTATTGATCCTCCAGTGAATGGAGGGGTTTGGGGTTGTGGTGGACTATCAGTGGCCGAAGGATACGGATTGCGGGGCAAGTAGCTGAAGCGGATGCTAGCTTGCGATTCGGGACTAGCGAGGAGCGCCTGTGGGCCTGAGGCACCCGCCAGACTAGTAACTACATTCCAGTGTAGAAGAGGGAAAGGGTTCAAAGTTCAACTGAGTTCAAGGAGATACTCGAGTACTGAGTACTATACCTAGGTAGTACTCTCAGATATACTCCGTAATTAACTACCGGTGAGTCTGATTCTGGCTGAGGCAATACTGCTGGTTGGGATCAGGGGTTGATGTTTGATATTCTTCTTCTTTGACACCCTACGGAGTACTTGAGTATGTGCTGTATGTTCCATCCTTGGTCCTCCGCTTAGCTACCCGACTGCACTGGCCACCTGCAGTAAGAATACGGACACGAGCACGTGATTTGAGCCTCCGAGTACTGTAGACCGACCGAGTCCTTGCCTGAGCTCCCCTGGCCTCGCCTCCAACGTCGGGTGCTTAACTGTTTGGTTTGGTTTGGTTTTGACTTCAGCCTACTTCATCAATTCGAGGCTTCGACCCCTCAAAACCGTCTACTACAAGAGACTTCTTATCATCCCGATATCATCTTCCCGGTAATCCATCCCCAGAGTTCGCCATCCAAGTCTCGGCTCTGGCCAGCCTTTCTCCAACCTCCTCGCTTCTTAGCTCCACTAGGGGTCGGCCCATCAGACGAGAACCACCAACTTCAGACGTCAACAAAATGTTAAGTCTTTCGGAACGGCTCCCACCCTTGCACCATCTTTTGGTGCTTCAGACTTCAGACTTCAGCATCCGTACTATGAGCCAAGGGCAAATCGATCACCAGATCAACGGCATCTTCTCTCACACCTACGAATGCATAAGGGGGGTTGTGATGTTCTTCTGGCAATCACGGTGACTGGAAGACTCCAATGGATTTGTTCCGGGCTTCGCTACCTTTTACCTCGCTCTGGTTGTCGACTGCGTTCAAATCTATCTTTCCTTTCTCAGAAGCAATTGAAGAGTTGCAGAGCTTCAATGTCGCTTTTGCACCTTTCCACGATTCCCCTCCCTTCAAATGCCTCCAGTGCCGGTATGTACCGCATCTTGTGCAATTATCAGTTCATCGACCTGCGGACAGCATTGATTGTCTTTGCGAACTTCAGAGGGCACTCCTTGTGGCGTGACCTGTTTCGAAACAAAACGGACCGTTCTGATAGAATTCAGGTCATAGCCAAGCCACCCTTCCCGGCTGTGCACTCGTCATTCGCAGTGACCAGATATATCAGATATATTGGACGCTGTGTGATGATTGTTGCTGCTGAAGCCACAGGCCCAGGAATTCTCGTACAAGTCGTCGAAGTGCCGGGCGTAACGACCATCGCTACGCTTGGAGTTTTCGAGATATGAGGAAATTTTCATTGTGCGGGATGCAAGTTGCAACCAAACTCGATTGATCGTAACTCCTTAATGTCGCTTCTTTCTGCGTTCAATAGGCGTGTCCAGCCTAGGAAGGCATTCAAATTTGCCATTTCAAAAGTCTCGGTCTTTCAAAGAGATAAGTACTGCAAAGTATGTGCATGACAAGCTCTTCGCAGCGGCTCTTCCGTGCCATGGGCAGGCCGGCGATGACCGCCCCATCTCGTTGGAATATAGGCTTTCACAAATGCCTCTTTCGGTGTTGTGCAGAGCCGCTGTGCAGCATTGGGGGCAATCACGTGGAGAAAAGGCATCCGATATTTCTCCAATCGTTTTCACGTCAATGCAAGAGTTCCAAGTGTCGAGATTTCGTCCAAAATTAGGCTTTCTTAACTCTTCGGCTGGTTTGATCGACAACGCTATAATGCCGGCCTGATCAGGAGTGTCAGGGGGTTGCTCTGCGTCGCCTCGTGGTTGATGGTCCCAGCCCACTGAAAAGGCTATTATTTACAGGCCTTTCCGACGCATTAGTCATGACGACGAAATACTATACCATCTTCTCATCCTGCTCTTTTCAAACATTTTTGGGCTGAGGATGTATTTTAATTTGTTCGATTCTTGAGGGTACCGTTTTCTATTCTGGAGAGATATTTACATTTTTCTTCTTTCAATTCATATTTTTCTATTCATAACCGCCATCATGAGTAGCCCACCTGGAGGCCAAAAGGATGAGTCGGTGGCGATTGCACCAATAATGACCAACATTCCCAGTGAGATTCTCACAGCACAATCTACGCCGCCAGTGATGCCGCCCCGTCCTTCGATTGCATCGACTGCATCGACACCAGCTGCTGCAACTCCTTCCGATTCGACGATTCCTCCGATGTCCGCTGAGATAAAAGGTATCATAGCTGTGAGCGTGGTCGCCGGTGTTGCGGTCCTAACCTTGATAACCATATTGATCATCATGTTCGTTCACCGACGGAACAAGAGAAAGAAGAAGGAAATGATTGATGAAAAGCATAACACCATGGAATCAGGGAGGAGGGGGTCTGGAATCAATCAAAATTTTAAAGGCGTCCCCTTTGGTCAGATGGATGCTCCAGGTCACAGCAGAGGAATGTCCTCGCCAGCACCGAGCTCAGCATATCTTCTTGGAGCTCCATCACCTGATCCGAGTGCAGTTTTCTCCCCCAGCATATTAAGACACCAACAACCTACACCTACACCTGAGCCCGAATACAGAGTTGCACCACCTAGTCCATCAACCTACTCCGCACAACCGCAAGCGAGCATCCGAGTGGTTCCCAGTGACCCTTCTCTTTTATTCAACTATGAAAATAGCCAACAGTCCAGTCATACTGGTGGCCAGCGACCCAGTCATAGCAGACAAGTGAGCGAACTAACTTCTTATGCCACACTTGGCCGCCTTGATACTGGAGCTGGAACTTTCCCACTCCCACCCCTAGGAAACTTAAGCCAATTAGAAATCGTTTCACCACAGACAGCCATTGAGCTAGAAACCCCAATAGACCAACAAACATCCAATTTCTTCGGCCGAGCCTCAGGAACGACTAGAGATACAATGGGCTTCCCCGTCGATATCAAAGTCCCGAGTGTGAAGTCAGAGGTATATCCAGATATGCCAGAGCTATCTGACAGAAGACCGTCCGCCGCACCTGAACCTCTTTTCCACGGTCACGGATCGGGAGACTATGGAAGCATGGCATCACCTCAACCTACACGCCCAGGATACAGCAAGGATACACTTGAACGTGCTGTTCGGGAACGTATGGCTGGAACACCATCTCCGGCTCCTAGCACGTTACTTCTTGCGAATCAGAACTTCTCACGCAACTTGACGCATGGGTCTCGAATGAGCGGTGGTGTCACAAAACTTCTGGATGAAGAGCTGAAGGTTGACCGAGAAAGTCCAGTATTGGGAGTCAAGAATCCAGTTGTTATCAAGGCTGTGCATCCAAAATTGGAGGATCTGAGACGCCAGCAGAGCCAGCGGACTGTTGATAGCATGGAGTCTGTTATCAGCGATACAGAACTGGAACGGTTGGGCGTAGGAGTTGGAAGGGTTTAATATAGCAGCATTGTACGATTTACAATGTACGGGGTCTCAATTCATTGCTAGGAGTTTGAGCGTTCAGGTCAGGGATCAAGACTGTCTGATTGGGGATGTTTTTTTCATTTTTTTTTGTGGTGCATTTAGCGATTTATATGAGATGGGAGCCTTGGAGTTTCTTTTTTTTGAAGAACGCATACAACAGGCCTTAACACAAAAGTTAATTATAGAGTGGATGAGAGGAGCCGTTTTTTTACATTATACCCCCCGGAGAAAGACGAGTTGCGGACGATGGATGAGGATGAGGATGGGACGACGCCATAGCTATGAGCATATTATATATACATATTGGAGGATTACGCATATTTTCTACTTGAGTCGGAATGTATATACATTACAAATATATACGATAAATAACGTACTTCATAAGGAGTCCGGATTTATAAGCAGTCCGGATTTTTTACCCCACCATCCAACTTTTAAAAACCATAGAACTTTAACCACTTAATATTTATTTATATAAACCATACTATCTTTCTTATTCTCGATCTGGGCACCTAGAAGCAGTATGCGCTAGTGATCTACATATACTACAGGTTCGTGGTGCACGAATTCGTGGTTCAATTAGCGGGGCCACAGCTTCATCCAAAACCATATTATCACTATTTTGAATAAGTTCCCTCCCTTCCTGACCTGTAAGAACACCCCCAGTAGCAATATATTGACGTCGCACAGTCTTCTTCTTCTTTTGACGTTCAGATTCAGCTCGTAAACGTCGATTTTCCTCTGCCAAAACCGTAGCTGATTGCATAGCCATCTTACACCCTTTAACCAATTGATCTAATGCAATAGCAGTAGGGCTTGAGAGAACGTTTGTACGTCGTTTAATAGATGCTTTAATTGTCTGGGTTTGCTGATCTGCCTCATATGTATTATGGGGTGTCTCAGGGACCCAAGGTAGTAGGTTTGGAGAAAGTAAAGGAGGAGTAGGCGTATGTAATTGAGTATGTAATTTACTCAATACTTGATCTGGGTTGTACGGGACAAGGCCAGTAGTTGCGAATCCATTACAGATTGTGTTTTTGACCATAGTACTTGTACGGGCTACACGATATATTGAAAGGAAGTCTGGTTTATCGATATGATATGTGCCGGCTCGTACTAGCTCCTCGACTCCTCGTCCATAAAGTCGCTTTAAAACTGCAAAGCAACTAACATCTAATGGCTGTAAAAGATGAGATGAGTGCGGTGGCATACAAAGCGTTATGATGTTATGTTCTGAACAGAAAAGATCGAATTCGGGAGTAGAATGACTACCATGGCCATCGAGGATTAAAAGTCGATATACTCCTTTTACACGGTCCTTGGTATATTTCTCAAATACGTCTGAAAGCCACTTAAGACCTAAGGAATCATTGGTCCACCCTTTATCACTAAGTGCAATTGTCCAATCTGCTGGTAATTGATCTGTATACCAAGTCGATATATGCACCTTGCCCTCAAATATAACCATTGGAGGCAACACCCATCCATCTGCACAAATTGATTCGACAACTGTAACCCATTCGCGATTCCCTGGTTGTATATGAATAGCCCGTCCTGTATATTCTGACCCTGTAACAACTTTTGCGGTCGCAATTACTCCCATCTGAAAGCCAGTCTCGTCGAAATTGTATATATCCTCCGCTAGTATACCATATTTCGCAACAATATTATGTACTAATCGAAACCAATCTCGGATAATCGTAGGATCCTCGCATTTTGCGCGCTTATAGTCGTATTTACGAGTGTATTTCGTCCGTAAAGAGTCGTGGCGCTTTATAAAGTTGTCAACCCAGCATTTTCCGACAATAATTCGACCTACTTCAGTTCGCTTTTCCAGTAGTAAATCGGCCATTTGGCGTATCGAATCTTTCCGTACTGGCAGACCTCTAGCTTCCATTGATAACATCCATTGTATAAGTGCTGATTCCTCGAGGTCGGTGAGTTTCTGGTTTCGGGGTCGGAAATCGCGTTGTGGAATAGCTCCCTTGACGCGGTCGTAAGTAGTAGAATATGGCGCATCGTACCTTGTACAAGCTGCTTTTAAGCTTGTAAATTGACCCTTATTGTATGCACTGATTGCAAGAGCAATTTGACCTTCTTTTCGAGACATTTGAACAATAATTGGGTAAGTTATGTAGATTGAAAGTGTGTAGGGTGGTCAATGGTGGGATAAAAAATCCGGACTGCTTATAAATCCGGACTCCTTATGAAGTACGTTATTGCTACTTGGTTTCTGGTTGTCGAGTTGTGGGGTTTCTGAGTTCACAAATCTGAGGTTGTGAATGGCATATCTATGAGCGTGGGTGGATGTTTATTCCAGCTCTGAAGCAAACTTCGAAAGAGGAAATTTTTGTTTCCTGACAAGTCTGGAATAGGTATCCAAACCAAAGGAGAAGGTCCATGTGCAGATGAACATAAATAAACCCCATTCCCCATTTTCCCAATTTTCCCAAGCGACTCTACTACCTTCCTCAAATGACCTATCGAAACCTCTCAGAAGATACATTACATTTGATGACGAGGAAGCGGACGCGGACAACGACCAAGTTCTAGACTCAGTCTTTCCGGGTCCAGATTTCCGTGTCTGACCTCTTTTTTTCATCGCAATTAGAAGCCAAGGCCTCGTCTGTTTTTAATCAGGGTATGGATTTTATGCAGTTCGTCTTGTGCAGGGCAGAGCCACCTGCAGCTCTGGGTTGTGGGTATGGGGAGTGAGACAGTGGGGTTAGTGGGGTTGGGATGTGGGGTTGTGTGGTCTAGACTTTTATACTCTGTATATATATAGATGTTTCCCTGCGTCTGTCGATTGTGAATTGTGAAGATGCGGAAGGGGGGAGGGAGGGGGTGAGGGCGCGACTTTCAAGGTCTGTATTATGGACTTCGCACCTATTTTCTCGAGTCGGAGACTATGCTTTCATTTTTTTGGTTTTGGGACTCTTTGGGATACGTGATGTGATGTGCCGGACATTGCCTGGAAAGAGGGTGGAAGAAAAGTCTCTCTTCATGTTTTGTAAACTCTCGGAGATGTTCAGGCGGGTGTGCTGATTGTATTTCTGTCTTCCGCCGTTGCTCATTTTCTTTTTTCTTCGGGCGAATTCTTGGGATGTATGGCTTTAGGGACTGGAAATTTGTTTGTTTCAAGAAGTTTTTATTTGGTTTGATTCCAGGAACGGCTGGGTGGTGGTCTCGTGATTTTTCCTTTTTTGGGATTGCTACGATTCTATTATCTTAGTTGCGTAAGACCTCTGTTCAACAAGCGTGAGTAGAGTTTTGGACGTTCCAGACATACTGTTTTTTTTTTCAAGAAGGAATAACCCACCAGGTCCATTTACGCCCAAATTACAAAAAGGCTTGTACAAAGTCTCCTCTAGAACCCAATATGGCCTCCATTTGAGAATCTTGGCTGGGAAGCTTGGCCATATAAGCAATGGGGCTGAAGCCACAAGCGGCCATTCGATTTCGAATTCGTGCAGAATCATGGTACTGGATTCTTTGAGGAGCGCAGGTTGCGAGCTAACTATATTGGTGTGTGTGAAAACTTCTCTGGAAACGCCACAGGCTTCTCGCTAGACAAAGAAGAATAAGCGATCGTGGCTTGTTTTGGGGCTCATGATCAAGATAGTGATCATGAACCTCTCGTAGAAGTGCGGCAAGTTCCTGCCCATAGGGTGCTGTGTAGGTTGCACCATCCAGCTAGACGGTACCTGGTTAGTCTGGTTGGAATTCAAAGACGAGGACTCTTGATGTGTATTCTTCTCCCCCCCTCCTTCTTAAGTATTGTCTTGGTATGGTCTTGGTATGGTCTTGGTATGCCTTGGTATTCAAACGTAACGTACGACTTTCACCATGAAGTTCTTACCATTCCAGTCGAGTCAGCAGGATCTAGAATACATGCCGATTGAGAAACACGGGGGAGATAAGAAAACCTCTCCATGCATTAGGGGTTTCTTCGTGGTGTTCGGTCTCCTGGTCGTGCTTACGATATGCGTTCTTTCCTTCGAGAAGGGGAGAGCGGTTGGGGAGAGAGGAGGGATTCAAGAGCATGTGCTTCATGTTCGTGAGTACTCTTAACACTGATAAAGTATGAGGTGCCTTCCTGACATTAATTAGCACCCCCGGCAATTATTGACCACACGTTTTATTTCCATGAGGAGTTTGAAAAGAAGCCGGCAAAAGGCGATGTTTGGACTAAAGTCCCTCCCCGTACGAAATGTGTCAGATTGTTGAGTGAGTTATTGCTAACAAGATTTAGGCGGTAGAGGCATCATATACAATCCCTCCGTAGCACCCTCCGCAAAAGGTGTCGCCATATGGCATCAACTCCATTGCCTAGTATGAACCATCACAAGCCTCTTTCTCTTACAGAAGTTCGCTGACTAGCAAAAAGGATGCACTTCGCAAAATCTACTGGTCTTCGCTTGACGGATCGAAACCCGATTTACAGATGAAACCTCCTCACGTCAAGCATTGCATCGAGTATATGAGACAAGCTTTGATGTGTAATGCGGATACTACGTTGGAACCTATTGATGATGAGCTGGGAGGTGTTACTGGGTTTGGGAATAAGAGGAAGTGTCGGGATGTGATGGCGATAAGGGAGATGGACTGATAAATGGCGCTTGGTTAATCAGACGGATATCCAGCCTGACGAGCCGGTGGAATGAGTAAGGAGTAGTGGAAAAATTGATATTTTAGTATGAGATACTGTGGGTAAATGAAATGTAGATATTTTCCTGATCTAGAGGAAACTGGGAATTGCTGAAAATATAAGTCACTTGGTAGTAAAACTAGTTTGGATCTTTGAGTTTGCTTAGTGTCTAGTTGCATAATTTCCGCTTACTATTACCGCTCATCAACATGTTCCGCGAAAGGGGGCTGCATCGCTCACTTAAGCTAGTCCACGTCCTTGGGCTTTCTTCTTTCTTTCCCATGCTTTTGAAGCCACGCCTTATCACGTTCAGCCTTCTCTCTTTGTCTATCAATACCCTCTTCGGCATCCTTCGTTGCTTTTCTGATGGCCGTGGGTTGGTAGACTTGGGCTTTCTGTGGATTATAATCTACAATAGGCCGGTTCTCGTAAGTAGTACCACTCTCCAATTTGTAAAAACGTCTCGTCTCCTCGATGTCCTTCAATGGAAGTTTTCCCTCAGGATAGTCCATAAGATTTGGTTGCACTCCAGGTATAGGATGCTGCGTAGCCGATTCAGACCTGTGATAATATTCCATGACCGACCTCGGAGCCGTGGGTGTATTCCCCACTTGACCATCGGCTCCCTCTTCACCTGGAAATCGAACACCACCTTTCTCGCTCTTCAATGCAAACTCATGGCGCAAGCCAAGAACGTGTCCCAGCTCATGCAGGAAGACCCATTCTAACCACATGATATATTCAGGTCTGAGAGCGACGCTGTACACCAGGATCCGATTCAAGTCCTGATTACTTGGAAAGAAAGCTTTGGCGAAAACATTGTTGTGCTCGCCTCCGTAGATGAGAGTAAACACAGCGTCATTCTCCTCCTCGACAAAATCGAAAGTAACCCCGATTTTGCTCTCGTTCCATTGTTTGACTGCTTGCTTGAATGTGGCTTCCGCGTATTTTGCTTGCGCGCCTGTGATTGCGAGAAAGCTTGAACGGTCAACCGTGTACGGAATATATATTCCGGGTTTCCAGCGTGGAATTTCTTTGTTGCACGGGTTTGGGTTGCCTACGACAATACAGAGTGCCGAATCTGTCTCTGATAAGCAGCTTGGACTGGTTTGCTGTGAGGTTTGAGGTGTCATATTTTTTGACATTGTGAGACCTGTATATTCCTATCGCTTTATTCAAATCAGGAGAACTGCTTGACTGTTACTTAATTCCAAGATGCTGTACAGTATAGCTGTTGCCTCTTCAGGTGTGACGGAGCGGGGTTCAATCGCCCGTTCTAATCAACCTTCCGCTCGCTTAATTCGCGACGACATTATGACTCTTGGCATTGGGATAACTTGAATAGCTTCCGTTCTTCTGATTCTCTGCTCACTTTGATATATTGTTACTTTGTAACTACGTATCACGAATCACGTGTTACACAGCACATTTAGATGAGGGTCCTGGAGAAGTCGGACTACGGCTGATCAGATCGATAATTTCAATTTTGTTGTATTTTTGTTCTTTTACTAGCTATAATATGAATTTAATGGCGGTTGCCCAATAAGACAGAACTTTAGCCTTAAGAGGTAGAGAAAAGTACTTGAGTTTCTCTCATTACCCAATATTTACTTCCTTTTCATTCATCCAAACCTCTTCCTGAACATGGTTCCGTCCCCGCTATCTCTCGAACGACTTCTCCGTATATGGCTATGGTGATCTATAGGGCGATCTTGCAAGCTATCTTCAAAATCACTTTCCTCCCGAGAAGGAGCTCTCTTCGGTGAATCTCCAAACTTTCTCGGTCTCATCCTCTCTTTTCTATCCCTCTCTGCCTTTTCAGCTACTCTACTCTGACTCATCCTCTTCAACCTGCTCCACCTCTCGCTTGCTTCGATCCTCTCCTCCCTCTTCGAAGCTTCATCACGTGGATGCAACTGTGTTAACGAGGCCGACGGGTCTATTTTAGCTGGATCAACGGGACCGGGACCGGGAACTGGTGAAAAGTTGGCTGGTTTGCAATTTGGGGGGCGTTCCACTCTCCCGCGAGGATACTGCTCTAGTTCTTGGGAAGCCTGAGTATAGGAGGGAGTAGAGCAATAACTCGAAGAGGAACCTAGGTTTTGCATCGTCTTCTGGTTTCGGTTCTCGTGTTGGTGGCGAAGGAGGTAACCACCCCATCAACTCAGATGATAAACTACCAATAACGCGATTGGCATACTCTTCTTGTGTCTCGTCTTGCCGTTGTAGGCCTGGAGAGTCAATCCTTGCCTCTCTTCCAGTCTCTCTACTTCTGCCTCTCCCCCTATGCTCTTCATCTTCAGATGTTCCCCCGACTGTCCATTCAGAAAGCAAAACCTCCGTAACTCGTCGCGAGTATTCTTCTTCAGTCTCATCATCCCGTTTACTAGATATGTCCATACCTAGCCCATCATACTCATCCATGGTGTGTGATGGTGCTTTATTACGAGTTTGGGTTGTGTTGTGTTGACGGAGTGGGAGGGCGCAGATGTTTGAGAAGCTGCCTTCGTTTTGACTAGTGGCAATTCTCTCCCTAGTTCTGTGCAGAACTTCCCGTTGGCTTTCTGATGTGGAAGTGAAAGTTTGTCGAAGACCCCGGGGTGTATTGAGGCTTTGGAGATGATTTGGTGGGCCTGGCATTTTTTAGTTTATTGCTTATGTATCGTTTACTGAGTAGTTGTGTTGATGTGTGGAGAGGTTGAAATGTGGAGAACATGGCTTTTAATTAGTGGCGTTCGCTTTGTTCGCTTTTGACGCCGCCTGATGTGGTTGTTTTGTGGGGAGCGTAAGTAAGGACAAAGAGGCTATGGCAGATGCCAGAATGGACTCGCCAATGAAAACACACCACTGCCTTGAGTAACCAACACTTAAAACACTTTGGTCACAAATAAAGTGGGGGAGAGCTGCACAAGGTTGCCATTAATTCATGCTTCCATAGCTATAATCCTCTGTACTGTCTACTTACCTCCCAAATAAGAAGAAGTAAAGAGACCCTCGATGATGATTTTGAAACTTGACGGGAAGGTTTGCCAATTGATAAGTTCCTTACATAACATTGCTAGTGAATGTACACGTGATGTACTGAAATATGAGACCTAAGAGGCTCTAAAGTACTGGACGTGTCTAGTATTATCTTCAAGATAATAAGGGATATATCAGGCAAGGCTTACCTACCATTCACAACCGCTCCCTCAGTCTCTGCCCCAAACACGGCTTTCAGGTGTTGGTAAGTGATTGTTAAGAGAGCTGTAGTAATTACCTACTACTCTTCTATTAGCAAAATCTGAAGAAGACCCTGTTCGTCCCTCTATGATTTGAAGAATGTGGCAGTGTTTTCAATAGTTTTGTTCAAGAACAATTAAGTAAGTAGAAAGTTGGATCATCATAGACGACTCACTCATAGGTTAGCTGTTGGTCTTAGCATAGTGAAGTATATAACTTCCGAGCGTTCGTCAGGATTACTTTCACAAGTATGGATACTTCTTCTGCGCTTGATATCTGGAAAGGCGACATCGAAGTACACCTGGTCAGATGATTTCAAATTTCGGGGTTTGTTCTTGTACGAGGTAAATTATCTTACAGGTACAACCCGGGTAGTACATGAATGTCATATCTCTACCAATCAACTCAACTAGAACATCTAAACAAATCATGCTCACTAAGAAGGAGACTGATTTATTTACTCATCGTCCTGTACCAGTTCTTTAATCTCAGATCCTGCAAAGCCCCCACGAGCATCAGGAACTGAGATACCAGCGGAAGCTCTCAAAACGCCAGCCGTGGCACCCTTCCCACTAACACCACCGTCCTGAACCCAGAAATCAACCTCGTCTACAATATCGTACACAATGTCTTCTGCGATCTGTTCATCATATCGCTCCGCAACAGCCCTCAATTCAGTTAATTTTGAAATGGTAGTTTGATCAGTCCCAGTCATATCGACATCCTCTCCCTTACCGTAACCTGGTGGTGGGAACCAGAAGTCTGGTCCAAAATTAACCTCTGCAGCACCAGCGCGGAAGACTGAGACTGCTGGGTAATATCCTAGCATACCATCGTCAAGTCCCTCTCGCGCGCCTAGTTGTGTGGGTGGTGGTTTTGAAGCCGGTGGAAGGAAAGCCAGTAAGTCAGTAAATGGTGTTCCCATTAACTCTCCATTTTTGTAAATTTTAATATTGGAATGGGGAAGTGTCCGTAATGAAGGTGATGGATGGGTCGGTCCTGGCTTTTGTCCCGAGCCGTTTCCGATGCCGCCCTGTGATGATATGACGGGAGAGGGATTCATTAACTCCTCTAACTCCTTGACTGCATGATAGTCAATGTACTCGAAATAAAGATGCGTCTTGAATCGTATAGGGACCCGATCGCGGATGATATCTGCGGTCTCGATCCCCGACGGTTCATCATCAGCCAAATCGACAGCCGGATTATAATGTCCCTCCACCACCTTACGATGTAGTGACTCGGAAGGAAGATTAATCTCCAGCCCAATCACATCCCCTTCTTGGATTTCCTGCCCGGGGGGAAAGAAATCCTTCGGTCTCGACATGAAGACTTTCTGGCCTTTGGCATCTCGAATACCATAACTGTATGCATCAAATCCAACAGGAGCATCCAGAGTGGCTTCCCGCCGCGCCCATCCCATCCTTACATGTCCATTTGCACTTTCCTGGCCAGCCTCGCTCTTTTTTCGTTTCGGTATGCCACTAGTAATTTTGCATTCCCAATACCACCGTCCTTGACGTATTCCGACATTTGTTTTCGCCATTCTAAACCCTTTATCAGTAGTAATATGTTTCGCAGATTCATCTAGAAACATATGAGTTGATGTGTCCTCAAAAACAAATCTTGGGCCGAATGGTTCGGCTTCTGAGTGTCGGTAATACAGAGAGGAGGGGAACGCAGGGTCTGCTATGCCATGAATATAATGGAATCCTCTCTTATTGTGCAGTCTATTTGCCATTAGTATATCGAATCGAGGATTATGTCATAGTAAACCTACTGCTCAGCGGTCTCATTGAACTGAATTTCTGTTCCATCTGGACCTATTTTTTTATGCGCCTGCACGAATATGGGACCCTTTGGTGGCTCAAAATCCTCTGCCTTTGGAGGGGCAAGCTTGTATCTAATTGGTGCTAAAGCGCTCTCCTTCTTTTTATGTTTGGTTGCTGGCGCTTTTGGATCTGGTGTTGATCTTGCGCTGCTCTCTGTCGCAAACACCCCTCCCTTCGATTCCCGCTTCTTTAACGATTCCTTCTTAGCTCTTGATGCGCGTTCGCGTGCAAGAGGTGCATCATCTTGAGGTTTCGCGGGCTTGAAATCTGGATTGAGCGGGGAGGACACGATGGGCTGATGATCGTCTTCGAGGACGCGTTTTGCGGGGATGGAAGATGCTGGCACGACGCCAGGGATAATAACCCCGGGTGGGAGAATTGGAGTTTCTTTAGGTGTAACCTCTCGCTGAGGCGAAGGTGCGCCTGTTGACATTGTGAGATTTGTGGTTTCTGGATAAGGAGACTGAAGTTGGGGTTCGAGATTGAGCTGTTGGACTTCACTAAATTCCCAGCCTCGCCAGCCTCGATTACGTGGTAACGTGACAGTGGCACAGACCCAGTTTGTGTAACCTGACGAGTACTGCTTACCTAACCGTGCTAACCTTTGGGGGGTCCCAATACACTGACGCCCCGGCGTCAGTTTAGAGCTGACTAAGCGCGGGTTTTCACGCCCCCCCACCACCGAAATGCGCGCGCGTCGCATTTACATCTACCAGCACTGTACTTTGGACTGTAATCAATGCACGCCTGACATAGCTACATAGCGAAAATGGACGTTCAACTCTCGCTGTCGCCACTGCCCTTACATTCACCTGAGCAACCACTTGAGCCAGCGTCAGCAGATGCCACCCCTCATACGTCTATGCCACTGCCTCCAGAGGCTATATATAGCTCTAAAGAAGAGCTATATACTTCAATTCAAGCCTGGGCAGCACATCATTGCTATGCTTTTCGTATTGGACGGTCAACAAAG